ATCTTATTTCTTTGTGATCAAAAGACACCTAAAACAAAACATTTGTGTCTGAGGTGATAGCCAATCTTCACATGTCTGGGCTTCTATCAGTATTATTTAAAACTATAATACAGGGCAAGAAGATATATTACTGAATGCTTGCTTTACACTTTCATTACTTGGACAAACATATACACGAGTCATGCATTAATCACTGAATTACTAGACTTCAATGGTCAATTTATACATGACAGCTCAGTATGTTCTATCATAAATAAACAAATTTACTAAAGTACTGATAATTCTTTGTAATTTTATTCAGTGATAGTGATCTAGTCAAACTAGAAAGAAATGTGAAGTTATTAAAGACATACAAAGAGCCAGAATGGGTGAAACTGCCAAATCAGAAGTTTCTTTCTAAGGTCTGATACTTTAGTCTGTAGTTAAAATGAGCTTTGCCACTGAAAGAGCATTGTAACCATAATACTTCTTCCCCAAACAGGAGTGGTGTAGCAACAACTATTCAGTCACAGGTTCTTAGGTTGTTTGTATAGTATAAAGCCAGTAGAAACCATTGCAATTCTCTAGCTGGACCTCCCACATAACATAGATCTAAGAATTTCCTGGAATGAATTACTTCTGGAATTAGAGTGTATGTTTGACAAAACATGCTCTACTTGATTATAACATTCCCAGAGAGAAAAACATTACCAAAATTCTGAGTATGATGTTTCAATTATTATCATAACAATGAAAAAAATGGGACCTTTAGTCTAAATTTATGTAGCGTTTATTTTCAGACATTGATTTGCCCAAACTGAAGGCATTGATCAAACTTCATTTTTCTTTAGTAAAAACATTACAGAACTTGGACAAATCACTCTTTAACTTCCTTTCTGGGCTTCTCTACAGACAGAACTTAGTGTGCAGAAAGCATATGAATTCACAGCGCTTCAGCTAGTCAGCTCTAGTTTGTCAGGCACACCCATGTGATGAATGCTAAGTAGCTAAGACACAAACGACCTTACCTTAAAGACAATTTTAATGAAACTTAAGTGAGATTTTTATATTTCACTTTGAAATGAAACAAACTGCCTCTAAAAAAGATTGAATCAGCAGCAAGGAAAAAAAGTGACGTACACCCTCTCCCTTTACTCAGTGTTCCTGTACTTGTGCATGCAGGTCACATGAAGCCACAGTTATCATTGGCATGTATTCATTGGGCCAGGCTAAACCTTATATTCTCAGAAGTATTCCTGACCTGACCAGGTGGAAGTATAAAGGTACTGAGAACTATATAATTTGCATTAGAGTCTGCATTGCACATAGGCTGTAGCTGTAGTTACGATTGTTCCTAAAGCTCATATATTGGCTTTAAATTAATTAGCGGGGATAAAAAAAGTTTTCAGGGAAGGAAAACAGTTGATGCCAAAATCTTTTCCAACAAGAATTTCATTATTAATAGCAAGACATCAAAGGAAGCCTCACCTTCAAGGAAATCACATTTAGAGGCTGGAAAAGGGTTAAAGAGATATAGGTACAGCAGAATGTCAAGGGAATCTTGCTATTATTTTATCTTGTAGGACATGTTACACAGTGTTAGTAGCCTGGATGTGGACTTGGATGGTAAAACCACTGACAGGCATGTCACTGCATTTAATTGCAAGATGGTGAGTACAGCTCACAGTCCCACTTTGAAATGCAGTATTCTCCTAAAGAATAGACAGAGGTGATAGGGACCCCCTACAAAGAAGAAGACACCTAAAAAGATCCAACAAGTCATTTTTTTTAAATATTGGTTTGGACAGCTGGTGTTACCAGCATGATCATGGTATTTCAGAAATCTATCCAAAGCAACTCTGAAATGGACCAGATGTGGGCAGTGTGTCACTGAGTCCCTGCTGAGCTAGTTACACAGTTCCTGAGAAGGGCATTCTTAAGGTAGAAAATACATGAACATGATTTTGAAGCATTTAATTACAATTATGTCAGTAGCTTGATGTAACTTGATCCGAATTCAGGGCATCCTTCTTAGAAAAGACCTGAAACTGGGAGCCCAAACAGCTGTTACTACTAAAGGTTGAGCTTGAGCACAGTGTTGCAGGGAGAAATCTCATCTGAATTTCTGCCATATCCTCTTAAGTTATTAACAACATCATAGATTTCTGATTCAGTGCTTCCCATTGAGAGAATTCCTGTCATTTTCCTTGTTCCTATGACAAAACCAGACCATATAAAAACCATGTTTGCTGGAATCCCATTACCAAACAATGGAGCTTATTTGGTATCTGTTTTCTCCTCAGGCACTTCTGCCTGAGATACCTTTAGGATGATGCAGCCACAGGCCTATCCCCTCAGTTGTAGGGCAGTTCTGAGCAGAAATGTCCTCCCTTTCTGTAGAAGTGGGGTCAGTGAGCATACTGGTGTGCAAGGAGCGTGGGTCAGAGATGTAAATGTTCACATATGTATTGGGGAGCAGGGTCAAGAAACGTAAGCTCATCCTCCCATCAGGGTCCTCTAATCACGTTGGCCAAAGTCAGACTGAGCTGTGCTTTGTCTCTACCTGAGCCTAGACTGTGATATTCCTCACTGTTTCAACAAGAGATGGAAGAAGTCTCTCAGTCAGAAAAGGCAAGGCCTTGTGATGAGGTCTGGTCGTACTGGGCCCTTATAGTTATGCCACTTATTTGGAGACAGAACCTTTGAGTGAGGAGGCCTGAGCCAAAATTTCTGTAATTGCTCTTGAATTAGTATCACAGTCAGGTGATAATACGAATATATCTTCTTGCTTTTTGAAATATAAAATCTAAATATTGATATAGAGCTTCTGTGTAATTATAACTAGTTCTGCCATTTCAATCTAATAAAGTCCCAATTTCACTCTTTGGATTTCTTTTGTTCCCTATCTTTTTAAATGTAGTTTTAAAATTTAACTCTGTGTGGTTTTAATTCTTATTAGTTTACTCTAATTTATCTTCTCTGATGTGTATCCACTACCCTTATCTTTTCTGTTCCTCCATTTGTTTTGTGAAGTATGAATTCACTTACCAGTTATTTTTACAGCTGCTTTCACTTGTCTGTAGGCTGGGTTTGTTTCATAATTAGTCTGCCCTTTATTCCTTGTTATGTTAATGTTTTGAGAGATATCTATTAAAATGTTCTTAAGCAGCTCACAATTACTGATCGTATTTTTTCATTCATGTTCTTCTCACATTTGATTCGATTGATTTCTAGACTGGATTTTATTCCATTCAGACATCAGATTTCCTCATGAACCCTTGTGCCCAGGCAACAGCTAGTGCTTAGTTCTGCAAATGATTCCCCTTTACCTCTCACTGTTCAGGTCCAAGATGGAAACACGGTAGAAGCAACAGTCTGAATGAAAACATTATCACCTAGGATTTCTAGGCAATACACTGATGTTTTCATATGGGAAAGATGAGAATCATGAGAGCTCTTGTAGGGGAGCCCTCTGAGGAGGAGCAAAGGTAGGCCAGTCCTGGCCTTAAACCAAGATTACCATTTCTCCCCCTTCAGTCTTTAAATAAGCAATAACTGTTGATTTTAACATCCCAGTCATCTGAGTTTCCTTTCAGATCTCAGTATTACAAATGAGATTGATTTTAGGCTCATAACTGAGCTATTCCAATTCCCCCCCCGCCCCTTCTTTTGTTTCAGCTGAGCTTCTAGCAGTGGTGCCTTGGCAATTCTGTAATTTCTTCTCTTCATGCTTTTCAATGTCTTGATTAAGTCTGTTCTCTCAACATCTTTATTTTTTGTACTGTGTAAGTGCTCGATTTTTCCCTCTTCTACTCTGTCCTCTAAGTTCAACACCTCCTCTGACTCCTGTAGTTTGTCCACCTGCTATAAGACTGGTTCCTCCTCCACACAGAAGCCACATAAACTGTGCAGCTTCCATCCACCCACATGATAAACTGCTACTGTATCCACCTTGCATTATTTATCTAATAAATCACTTTTTCTTGTATATTTTCTATTGTCTTAGAGTAGGCTTGCAGTGCTCTGTGATAAAGCATAGTATTGCATCAAGCTAATTACCATCTTGTGAGCACTGTGTTGTACTAGTAGTCACAGAATCCATTTCCATTAACTTTGTAATCTCAGGGTATGTTTGAAATGGGAGTATAAATAAGCAGGGTTTACAAGAGTGAGTAGTTGCACGATTTATCCTACAAATAGCTTTTAGCTTCACTTTCCCCTATTTAAACATCCTCTGTCAGTCTTCCCTGCCTTCAGCTGGAAATAGTAGCACTGTTGTAACAGCAGTGATCTAAGAACAGGCAGAGATACAGGGCATGGAGAAGGAGGTATATCAGAACAGCTGATGCAGTTGCAAAGGAGAGGTGAGCTTCTGGGAGCAGTCTTCTCACCAAACTGTTACCCCTGCAGAGCTGTGATCAGGGACTGCCTCAAAGTTTGTCCCCTTTCCCACCTCCACCGGCTTGTCTTATAGAAGGTATTCTCTCTCTGTATGAACTTTGTGTATCCTAAATCACAATGAGATGATGGGGTTTGCTTTAATTAATTGATGAGTTTTGTCTTGACTTCTTTTTTCAGTGAATTGAGTGAACAGTTTTGGATGTCCAAGATCTCTTTGAGACAGAGATCTATCTTGTATTTTTCTTATGCTTTATTTTCAGAGTACTGCCTTTAGCAAATGATTTGAAGAATGTTTGAATTCCCAGATTAAGGCTATATCAACTGTTTAAACTCTTCCTACATATTGTCATCCTTTTAATCCTGTCAGTCCTCCTGTTTTTCCTAGTTAGGATTTCTCTTACCAGACAATCCAAAAAAGTAAGAGGTTGAAAGGTAATGTGAACACATTTATAATATATTAACTATAGCATGCATATCAGTCAGATGTATGCATAGGTCCTGGAAGAAATGAAAAGGCAAATGCTGCTGTGCAAACAAGTTCACTGTTTTGTCATAATATTTCTAGAATTGCAGTCAGCTATAAATCAGTTGGAAGGATTTTTTTCTGTAATAATTTTCAGGATGAAGCTTGATGTCAAGTTTAAATCTCAGACTGCTACTGACATTGGAGAAGAAACAAGAAAGGACTGGAGGAAGAAATAGCAGAGAATTTTTTAGCTAAATCTGTTCGGGTCTATATTATGTATTATCTCATTATGTACTTGGGCCTTGTGGTAGTGATATGTTTAATGTAAATTGATGTAATAATGAACTTTACTGAACAGATTCTATAGTACTCCAAATTTGGTTGATATCTATATATCTCTATCTAAATTTGGTAATTCCACATCATGAAAAATATATTTCTATTGAGTGTGCTGTACAATTGATCTTAGCTACTTTAATGACAGTTTATCTTAGTTAAAAATTTCATGAAAGGTTACCTCTTGCAGTCTTGGGTGTCTCCATCTTTTCATTATAAATTTGGGACTTCTTTAAAATGGGAGTGATTTTTAGAGGTGGAAATACTCAACTGTTTTCTGTAGGGCACATATTTCAAAGGTTTCTTGCTCCCATGTCCAAGCATAGAGACACTAAAAATTGTCAGTTGTGTATGAAAAATCTTGATGATACCACGAAATTTTCTGAACTGAGGCACAACAAATTGTAGAGGGTGGGATCACGAAGCTGGATGGATCAGAAACCTGTAAGTGAAATCTCAGTATTTTGTAAGTGTTGAGAGGGTAAATGTTAAAAAACTGTGTCCTGTAACTATCAGATTAGCTTCCTGGTAAACATGTTGCAGAAATTGCTTCTTTTTTTCATATGAATGATTTTTTGTGTTTGTTTTTGGTTTTTTTTTGTTATCTGGATTCTCAGAGCTTGTTAGAAGGGGCTGAACATGCCATTCTCTGTAAATCATTTAACCACCTGAGTAATTCCACTTACATTAACAATACTGTTTCAGCATCTGCTTAGGGTTATATACATACTTAAGTACTCTGTTGTGATTTAAATAATGTAGTTTTGGATAGCCTGATCTTGTTATTACTATTGTTATTAAATATCTATAAAATGTAAGTACAGACCCTATCATTAATACCCATGTTGCTCTACTCCTATTTGTTTCAGAATAATAAAGTTGTCCTCTTAGAAAAATTATTTACTTTATTCCCTTACCAACATCACAGTACACTATATTAGTCGTTGATTTAAAATTTTCCTGAATGCTTTCTGAAAATGAAAACCAAATGTATGCTATCTATTTGTTCCTCTGATTATGTACAACCCGAAAGAAATTCAGAAGATAGTAAAGCATGACCTTTCATTCCTGAGGCAATATTGGCTATCCTTCATCAAGCTGTGCTTTTCTAAATGGTAACCATTTAATGTCCAAAAATGTTTTTTAAGATTCTCTTCTCCCAAAAGGCATTGAGACTGAATGGTGTATAATTTCCTGAAGTGTTCCCAGAGTCTGTCTTCAATAATGGCATTATGTTGGCCATTTTCCAGCCATCAGGTCTTTTTCTGAATAGAATGAGATTGTAAAATGTCTGCAAAACTTGCAATAATAGCATCCCTACTTTTAAAAAATATATATTGAATATTGGTAACTGTTTATTAGTAGAATACTGTTATTAAATGTCAACATATTATTATACCATATTATAGATGAATTATTAGTTTCCCTTTCTCAAAACTGAATCCACTGTCTATGTTTCATTGAGAAAAGACTCACTTAAGGTATTTACTATAAATCATATTTACATTTTGCACCTGTTTACATATAGTTATTCATAGTAAATGTCCTTAAAATGAGGTGTTGTTTTACAAATAGGAAAAGAGCTAAATCACTTTAATACACTGACTTTTAAACTGAAAGACAGTGCTCACAGAACAGATTTGAAGAGAAAACTAGAAGGAAGTTAAAGACTCTATTTGCTGTTTAATATATAATTAATTTCATTTAAAGTGCTTCAAATCTAAGATAAAAAATAACCAGGAATAAAAAGTAGATGTAAGGCATGTACAACCACACTGTATAAAAAAATGAGTGTTAGAAATGCTTCTAGTACACTTGTAGGTGTCATGAAATAGAGCTCTATGCTCTAGCTACTTAGGGCAAAAGCCAACAGCTTGCTAGCACAGACCCTGAAGTGTCATATTTCTTTTTAACTATGTTAAGTTTAGTAGTAGTAGTACTGTCACTGACATTTCTCCATGCTGGATCATATGCCAGTGCAAGAGTTTAAGCCTAACTGTTCTATGTCCATATCATAAAACAGTGGTTACTGCCCCACAGAACCTACATTTGAAATATTGGAAGTAAAAAAAATCTGGATACTGCAAAAAAGAGGACACAGAATAACAGTTAGATGTCAGTCACTAGCAGTCGCTATGAAACTGCTGTTGAGGGCTTCTCATTAAGTCAATGTTAACTGACTGACCATGTGCATACTCCTGTCTGCTCCAAATGCAAGGTAAAATATGTCACACGAGACTGCTTTCCATGAAAGCAAGGCTATGCGCACATATGGTCAATTACTACAGCTCAGTTGATGCTCTGTACTTTGCTAAGAGGTGGTACTGCAAGATGTCTAAGCCTTGTGTTTTGGTTAGTAATTTTAGTGAGGTTTTTGGTGGTTTGTTCAATATATTGCTCCAGCAGTTCATTTGCAATACAAATTTTTCATTTTAAATAATTCATACTTAATTACAGTAGTTGTCAGTTTATGTGGTCCTTTTCATTCTTGAAATGCTTTAGAAGCATTAATTCCCACAAAGTTTTGAGAAGCAATTAAGTATTAATGTTCCATTTTTACAAACAAAAACCAGAAAATACAGAGGTTGGGCAAACATTTCTGAACATCAACTGTAAAATTAGGCACTGACTAGATAGAGACATGATCTAATTTTCAGAGGCACTGAAGACATTTGCATATTCAGAATGGAAACTTTTGTCCTAGTAGTTAAATTCATAAAGAATCTTGGATACGATAATACTGAACATTACAAGTTTTTAACTACCCAGGATCAAGACATGGGAGGAGTTCATTAACTCAGAATAATGTTCCTAGCAGGTGAGCGTGAAGCTGCCTAAGCTAACACAACGGAAAGACTGATTTCCAGATTCTCACAATTCCAGCTGTATAAATAACCCTTTACAAACTTTCTTCCATGTGGGCTGAAGAACTCTGCATTCTTTCCTGGCAACTGCTTAAGTCATTTTTAGAGGAAAAAAACGATTGAGAGAACTGGGGACTGTGAGTATGATCATAGAACCTATTGCCTCAAGCACTCACAGGACTGGGCAAATTTTACGACTGCTATTTAACAGCTCCAACAACCAATGAAGAATGTGTGTCCCAAGAAGAGTTTTCAGCCAGACAGTGAAGCTGTTGGGAGCTTTGTATTTGACCTTGCTTTTTCTCTCAGCCTGAGGAGATAACTGCACCTAGGGGAAATGCTCTGATCACCAGAGTATGGTACAAAAAGCAGGTCAGTACTTGCCTTTATTTTTAATAAAATAAATGGCTAACACTCAGTTTAACACAAAATCAGTCTCCTAGATACACACTTCACATGCTTTGAGCACAACTACTATTTCAGGTTTCTCAAAAAACATAGGTTGGATGTGTACAGCTTTTCCATATGAACAAGGGAAAATGGGTATGAGGTGGGTGTTCTGCTGTTGAGCATTTGTGAACATGTATGGAAAAGATGTTTAAGTAGTGAGAATCTTAACTGGTAGTATCTATGGCCTATGAAACTAAGTTGCAGCTTTGAAGATTTTTACAAGAGTGGTGTTGAGACTGTTATAAATACATGCCCTAAGGGTATATCTATAACGATAGACATTCAAGGGCTCACCTTGAAGTTATTCTCAAGTATTTTGAGACCCATGAGCCAAAATTTCTTGTCTGCATCATGTATCTACGGGCTGTTTGGAGTAAACCAAAGCCGTTTGCATTGCATTTCTATTTCATGATCACAGAGGTAAGAGTTATCCCAGATTTCCTTGTGGGACACTACTGTAAATCATTTGGCAGCCTTGTCTCTTCTTCAAGGCAAGCTTCCATTTATAAATAATAAAGGAAGGAAGGAGGTACAGAAAGAGTCAGAATTACAATCATAAGAGTTACGATTTCTAACTTCCTCCATCTGTAGCCCAGATCACTGCACCTCACCTCTCCAAAAACCTAGATCAAAATGTAAGAGCAGTGTTGAACTTAGTGTTTAAGAAAGAGCAAATAACAATGAAAGATGAGGAATAACTGATGTGCAAATTGTTAAGAGCCATTTATATACATACTATTAGCAAAGGATTACATGCATCGATGAATCAGCGGTTTTAATCAGATGAAAATACTTTAGAGCACAGTTCCAGTGTGATGAATATGCTAGAGTTGTAGATCACCAGGAAGAAGATTAATATTCTGTGTATAATTATACACATTTCTCCTCAATTCTTTTTTTGAAGACAGACAGCAAATAGGATTTAAAGCAACAGTCATTCACTTCACATGAGCACAAAGAAAATGTACAAGAAAGCATGCAACTGCCTGCCCCCCACCTGCCAGCTTCTAGCATCTCTCTAGAAGACATTTTCTACTTAGTTTCCTGACTACTCCCATCTTGCTCCCCTGAGTCTGGTCTCATGGCCCCACTCAACATTCTTCTTCCATACTTTTTTCAGGCACAGAGAGGCTCCTGGCCTGTGGTGGATTGTGCAGAAGTGCAGTGGGGATAGCTACCCCTTTCTGGCAGAGGTCTTAACTCTGTCCTTGGGATAAGATGTCTTACTGTAGCTGTGTGATGACCCTTGATAATGAAGATTTCTGTGGATCCATTTGTATGAGGCCTGCACTGGATGAACACATTGAATATTTCATTTGTTGTACTTCTGAGAGTATGTCTGAGAATCTTTGATGCTTTCCTCTTTCTTCAGTGGGTAATGCTGTACCCTCTTCTTGTACATAACTACAAACTGTCCATCTTTAGCCTTGCTTGAAGCATCTCTCAGCATTTTCCCTGGCTCTCCTGCATGCTAGCTTGCCAGAAGAGGCAATGGTCTCTGCAAAGATGTAGCTGTTTTCAAATGTGTAGTCTCTTCTATCCAGTTTCCATTTGGAAAGAAGCATGTGAGCCTCCTACTGGCATGAGAAGT